AATACATCTTAACGCGTGTCAGGCACAGATAAACAACGTTTTATATTTGTTTCCACGTGCCGATTCTATTATCTGATCCTCTGAACAATGGTAATAACGTGCCACTGATGTGATCGAGCACATATGTGTATTATAAATCCTCTAACACAATAGATAATTCAAATGTCACGTTAGACGCCTTTTATGTAACAGGTCGACCGCTGATTATGGTCCATCGCCAGTGATGTTTAATATAGCGACCGATTAGACTGTATTTACAACGTACGTAAGACAGGAATTTCTTAAGGTGTCCATAATGTTAGAAAAAATTAAAACATATCTTTGAAAAAAAATTAGGTCCCAAGTTGTACCAAATTCAGATTTAGAATGAAATTATGCATAGCTCTGTTAATGTCCGTCGTCTATAAAATCACCTATATACTGTATAGGTGATTTTTTCTGTATGCTAGAGAAAAGCAGGGAAATTCACTATCTACATAGCACCCGTGCGAAACCGGGGCGGGACGCTAGTTGTTAATATAACAATCAACGCTGACGAAGTCATGGGTCAGCCAGTTATCAGCCAGTTTCAGCCAGTTTAGAATATTATTTCTAATGTCGCCTCAACCACTTCCTTCTTCAATAATTATAAGCCTTGAATTTCCAACACAATAACGCTCATTATACGTTTCAACATAACATTTTTTTCTCATATCTAATTGGACTTCATGACTAATTACTCCTGCCTTATCTACATTTTATCATCACTCCGTTTTTGCAGTACCTACCACTAAAGTGTTCATTCCAAGCTGTTCAGAACTAGCGATTCAATTGGAATTGCAGGCCGAGTAATGAGTTGCGAGGCAATTTGAGGCAATTACCTTACAGAAATAAGAGCACAAGAGCGTTCCGACTCAAGTGACATTTAAAAAAAAAGAAATAAGCCAAGAAGCCCCTTGATATTCCGCCGCGATTACACTGACCTTTGCAGCGAAACAACGTGAGCTGAAATAAATGCATTCGCACACCCAAATGTTTACACGGGCGTGCAAATGTGGGGCAGTATTATTGGGTCGTGTTCGGCGTGATCAGTGCGAACGATTCGTGCACACATAATCTGTTCCATGTTTGTGCCGCGCCTCGTAAAGGGTCTTGCATACAACCGCAATCACGCTGCCCGAAGACGTTCAAAACACACGCCGCCCGCGGGCTGATTGCGTTCCGTCAACCGCGTCGGGTCTGGTCTATTACGAGCCGCATAGCCTGGAGGTCGTTACATCTCAGTCTATTCCCGCCACGCTTTAAGCCGTTACCGGGCCGATCATGAATGACCCAGATGCGAGGAAGCGACAGTCTGAACGGCTTGAATCGCTAGCAGACATGTGCAAAAAAGTTAGCGACCGCGCCAGCCATTAATCGGCTGCTGTATCAAGTAGGATTAATATTAATGGCGAACGCCAATCTCTCGGCGGAACATGAGCCAATGAGCACGGAGTGATGCATTGATCGATGTTTTATGAAGAAATTCCATGTAAACTTTGCGAATACGTAGAGCAGTAAATCAAATCGAATACGCCTTTATATAGATCATTTATTTGAACGGAATGTTAGAGGCGTTTATTATCCAATTGCTTATTTATTGAATATTGAATTATACTATAAATAAGCAATTGGAGGTAATGGGGCTGTAGTGGCAAAGACCACGTCATGTAGTTTCATTAGAGAGTAGAAAAAGAGCGTTTATATGAATCCGATACATTATCGCAATAACGTATCGTACGACCGCGTCCGTTATTGCGTATGCATACGAAATATGTTCCTTGAAAATGTTATCAAAAGAATCTTGAGTATGAGGGAGATTTATTTTGTAAGCAACTAATTGCTGGACACATTATAATGGGTCAGACAAACATCTTACCTATCTGTACACAAATAAAAACTGGCAGACTAACACTAGACGAAATAGCAACACAAAATTTAAAAAAAAGAAACTCGTTTTGTTCCATCATTAAGCAAAGTTCAAAGGCAAGGAAGTAGAAGTGGTAAATGTCTGCGATTGATTGCTTATAAATCGAAACCAATCCGCATCAATCAGTCTGGAACGCGGTAAAAAGCGTGCAATGTACGTTCAATTAATTGGCTGTTTAAAATTACGCGACGTGTTTAAACTGCGTGCAGTTAAATTCAGCATGTGGGACAAATATATTGTGCAAGCACCGTTCACCGCGCGCCGCTATCGGTACAGTCGCGGGCGAAATAAAAAATACTATTTTGCGCGGTGAAATAACAACTCTTACGCCCGGTTTCTGAAACACTGATCATCGTAGATGTCAACTAATCAGCTGTCAAATGGATTCCCACCAAGTGTTCCAACCCTACTTTGCAGCGATTTCCACCAAGTGTGCCAACCATGCTTTTGGTACCTAAAATGAAATTTTAGGTACCAAAAGGATGGTTAAACTCTCTGAATTGACCAGAATGATCTTCTTTATGATCAGAGTGATCAATTCAAAGAGTTTAACCATCCTTTTGGCAACTAAAATGAAATTTGAAATTCATTTGACAGCTGATTAGTTGACATATACGCTGATCAGTGTTTCAGAAACCGGGCCAATGTGGCACTGACGCAAAAGATCTTTGAACGACCATGCGACCTAGTTTATAATAAGTGTGCAAATTTTCTCTTTTTCGAGGTATTTTTGTGTTCAATCTTTGTTATTATTCAATCTTTCGATCTAAAATTTGCATACATGTTTATTATCTAAACTATCATCACCAATTCAGGCTATTTAGGACCACTGCCGAGCGTAGGCCTCCACATTCTGCCACAAACACAATCCTGAGCCACCTACATCCATCGACTTCCCTCACGTTTGTACAGGTAGTCAGTAAGTAATGTTAAATACAGGGTGATTAATATCATAAGTGTAAATAACGTCATGTGCATTAATATCATAACGTCGGGAATTAAAGTTAAAAATAAACGCGATAAATCCGTAAAATTTGTTTCATTTATAATGTGTAATCGCGTAAATACAAGAAATTATTATCATAAGTGTAAAGTCAGCCTAAAATTTTCGCGCGACGATTTTCGAACGATTTTCACGCATTGATGTCATCGGCCGCTCAGCTTGGTGAAGCGTCTGGGTGCGAAACCAGAAGACGCGGGTTCGAATCCCGCAGCGCGGCGAAAATTTACAATTTAAAGAATCAAATCTAATCAACATTGTGTAGTAAAGATGTAACAATGACGCAGCGAAAAGAAAATATTAAGAATCACTTCCAATTTTCCCCGGGAGTCCCCTCTTCGTGGTCTCTTCACTGCCTTATTTCTTTTTAATCATCCTTAACACTTTTGGAAGCGGGTATACGTTCGCCGCGATAATTAACTGGGCAAACCGACGCTGGGTTTCGAAACAACTTTTTGAAAAGCTCGCTTACATTAAGTTACCAGATAAGACGGATTGCGACGTTGCGAGGGGCAAGTGGTCATCAACTTGCTCGCATACCTCACAATCCCCGACCAATAACTTGAAGTGACTATCTGTACAACATAAGCCGAAGAGCCATAAAATCTTAGGACATTAGACTGATTTCTCGTATCGAGTACAATAACCAGGTGGTTAAGCGAAACAATTTTACTGATCATTTACGATACACCAACATAGATAGACTTCTAAATAGAGAAAGCTCCTTTTGCGTAGATCGGAATAAAATAATTAACGGTAGTGTTTTACTCTAAGATTAGAACGTAAAACAAGTCAGTGGCCATAAACGCTGTAAAGTATTAGGACACTAAACTTTAATCGTATTGTACTCGAACAAACGGACTTTAGATCCCGGTAGGCATCAATATAGGTTCATCCTTATTTCAATGCTTTACTGCCCTCGACGGTAAAGAAACTCGGGAGAAAATTTATCAAATACTTGAAAACACACACACACATTAAGAATAAATTAAATTAGAAATAACGCCGCAAAGAGCGATCGAAGGTCCTTATAAGCAAAAGCGAAGGATCGAAGGTCCGATATAATTGACGACCCGAATGCCGTTGTGAGTAGTGTACCTGCCTCCTGCGCCCAAGGGTGTGGGTTCGATTCCCACTACTGGAAAAATACTGTGTGATGAACAGTGTGTTTCTAGTGTCTGGGTATTTATATATCTATAATATGTATCTATTTACAAAAAAAGTATGTTTAAGTATGTTTATCAGTTATCTAGTAACCATAGTTCAAACGTTGCTTATTTTGGGACTGGAGAGCGTTGTGTAAAAATGTGTCCTAGAATTTTTATTTATTATTTAAATTTAAAATGTATACTTGTATATGAGAAAACGCATTTGATATATTTAATTTAATTCGTTCTTTTTTTCATAGTGTACTAAACAATAACGTCAATTACGCGATTAAGTACCATTTGAAACTTTTACTAAAGGAAGATGTTGTTTTAAATTACGAACTAACGTATGCAATTATGTAATCTTAGGTCGTAGTCGCACTAGTCCAATAAACGTCAGTCCTACATTCATAGTGTGCAGACGTCACTCCTTTGAATCCACCCTTTGCTGTCAATCACTCCTTTATTGTACAAATAACAGACGAGTAAAACCTATAAAATCGAAATTAGTACGCCAGTTGAGCAGACACTGGCAGAACGGAGAGGGAGGTGATGGTATAGTAAATTCAATCTGTTGGTGGTGAAACTAAACGGACTACATTTGAGAAAACTTCAATAAGTTCGATATCATTTATATCTACACAGTCCAAAATTAAGAAATATGCACTAAATTAAACGTTAACTTTTATGAGTAAGCACTTATTTATCAAACGGTTTATACAACGAACAAAATTCAGTCCAAATTAGCAAGTTGCAAGTTTCTTTAAAAACTTTATTGTGGAACAGCGAATCCTCTAGCATAGGTTTTTATACGTAGAATGAGTGGACATTACAACAAGATAATTGTAACTTAAAGACATGAATTTTCGATTTGATTTGTTTCGAACGGCAAGGCAAAACTCACGTTAAAGAAGTGCGGTCTCAGCCTCCCTATAGTGTACTTGGCGACGTCTGTGGTCAGCTGCTGACAGGCGCAGCCGAAGAGGAACACCCCGACCACCTTGTAGACCTCCCAGAGCCAGGCGGGGCACTCCTTGCCTAGGATGTTGCGCGACCGGCCGCCTTTATAGTCGCGCAGCCGGATCCATTCCGTGAGCACCATCTGTGGGGCAAAAAGGACCGAGACTAATAAGCTATCCTATTACGGGTACGCATAGTGAAGTAACATACTATTGAACATTAGTGTCCGGCTGCTGGTCAAAGGCACACAAAACATTATAACTACTTAACGTGTATAAGATGCATGTTCTTCATTATTCATACTAATATTATAAATGCGAAAGTAACTCGGTCTGTCTTTCTCGCTTTCACGCCAAAACTACTGAACAGATTTAAATGAAATTTGGTACACAGATAGTCTAGAGCTTGATAAGAATGGAAATAGGGTATTTTTTTAATTGGAAAAAGAGTTATAAAGGGTTCTTAAAGGGGATAGATATTTATATAAGGGCTTCAATGCGAGCGAAGTCGCGGGCGAAAAGCTACTTCTTATATATGTTAATGTGAAAACACTCGCATATTGATTACTGTCCTTTCTATGCATGTATACTATTGCTTCAGCTACATTGCTATTACGTAACACGTTTACGTTTTTCAACGTTTACGGGATAAGGAATAACACAGCTATTCATTTCTGGAGAAAACTATTAGTTTTGTGTCTTCAGACAATAACAAAACGCAAGCATAAAAACAGACAACTTCAACGCAAACAGTTTAGACGCAAGACAAGTTTTAGAAATTCGCCCTCTTAATACAATATCACTATTTGGACCCAAGACATTTCGCTCCCTTAATACATATTATAGTAGGCCAGTTCCTACAGAACGAGAATACATCCGAGACAAGGGATCCTCTTACTCGGTAGCGGCTGCCAACGTGACGGTTGAACAACACTCAACACAACGCAGTGGTAACCCAATGCCGGCAAAACAAAATTATATTCGAGCGCAGTGCTGCAACATTACGTGCGCAAATGCAACACTCGCATTGCCCAGGAAGAGACGAGTTGGGTTTCTAAGCGGGTTATTTTAGACCGCGCGTTTTCACTCGATATTTGTTAACAATTTTTTAGTCTTAAGATTTCAAGTATAAGAACACATTGTATTCCTTGTTGCTTAGTGGATAGCGATATTGTCTCTTGTGCTAGGTGTGAGTTTGATCCTACTACTGTAAAATATTGCGTGATGGACATAATGTTTTTCTATTCAGATTGTTGTATCTACAGTACGTGTTTATTTATAACAGATAATTATGATTAAGCATGTTCCATTCAAAACGTTTTGCTTAAATCGAGACTAGATAACGTTGTGTAAAAGTGTGGACTGAAAAGTTTTTTTTATTTACTTATAATATATAAAATTATATGACATGTTTACGCTGCCGCACTTGGAGACAAATCAACGCGTAGGCATCATCAAGTTTGTTTATTGAATCGATGGAGAGATGTGCGATTGATATTGATAATGTTTAGCAATTTGATCGATTGCTTTGAGGTTTTTGAGTGAGTCACCTATAAAAAGTTCAATTTCAGACATTCACCTATCGATCGATGTACAGAAGCGTTATATGACATCGAACGATTGGAACGTTCTGGAAATCGAATGGTTTTTATTCAATACGAGTTGCAATTGCAGCGTCCTTGTGTGCGATTGCGCGCGGGGTCAGGTCGAACGCTCACTGAATATCGCTGAACGGTCTCCTTCGACCGTATAAAGATATATAGTCTCTACATGAACAGTATTTTTTTTTATTAAACTCGTAACAATGTAAGTACATCGAATGCATGCATACAATACATTAACATTAGTTAATTGTTTATTAAAAAGTTTAGAGACCTCGCATTCGGCAGACTGTCATCATATCGCCTTCGGTTGAAATGGTGTCAAGCCCTCCATAGCTGAGTAGGGTTTTCGTATCTGTTTTAAATTTGTCTGACGATTCTTTTTTCATCTAGCACATATACTTCTTTGAGAGCTTTCGATAAATTCATGTCAGGTTTAAGATGGCTCGGATTTACAATTCAAATAAAATGAATTTGGGTATCTATAAGATTAAGTATTTGTTTAAGTAAATATTTTTTAAAAACATTGCCCTTACTTTAGGATAACATTATCCTGTGTTCTAAGAACGTTTTACATACCTAAATTTCATTGTGGACAAACACCCAGATGCGAAACAGATATCTGTGGGTCGCACAAATAGTTGACCCGTGTGGGAATCGAACCCACGACCCCCAACACCGAAGCCAGTACCTTGGCGACAACGCCACGGAGTCATTACGGATTGTTTTAAACAAATTCCCAGTGCCGTCTTCACTTTCGAAATAGCACGTCCATACATTTTCATTTATACCTTTGTAAAGGTATAAATGAATAGACTTTTAGAGAGATAATGATTGCCATCAACGAATGTATTATCACTTAGCATCGTATTGGAAGGTAGACAAGAAATTCTATTTTCCCCTGTTCCTGTCCTACTAGGTGAGGTCGGTACAACACGTTCTTCTACTATCTGCCTCCTCATCTCAATCACCATTTTGACAGACATATCATTCTTCACATATTTCGACAAAATTTTTTTTTTGGTCTTTCTTTAGCCTCCTAGTTTTTCATGACTTGCATTCCTTTTCATGACGTGCCTATACCATTGCAAACTACCGTGTAGTATATTCTATTATGTATATGGTTATTTTCTCAGTCACTAGTGCCGCTTTCTAGAATTTCGTGATGAACTCATTAAGGATTTAATCCTTTCTAGTTTTCCCACGCATTGTCCTCCATTGTTCTGAACCTAGTATCTGACTCAAAAACGTTATAAAACATAACGCCGATGTTGCGCGGCAGTAATTATTACATATTTAAGTAATCAAATTCGCTTGGGAGGCACTTGGTAAGGTCAATGACCTCCCCAATAGGCGTCTGTTCTCCTCGATGGAGCCGAAACCTACATAGGGAGCCGGAGGTCGAGTCCCGTCGAGGCGTGAATACGAACTAATAGGGTGCGAACGACGCGATAAGGTGCGTAAACACGCTCCATAGTTAGCGCCGTGTGTAACAATAAATGGCGGTAACGAGCAGAAAATTTCTCTAGCATCTATCTCGTGTTCGATAATCGATCTTGCCGCGATAGACATAGAGAAGGTTTCGGAAAAAATCACAACGAAACGTAAACATTGATGTTCGTACACGGCACTACGGAGTGTCGGCCTCATCTGTACAAATAGTAGTAGAATGCAGCACTACGGACTTTAGGCGTACCTATATATTTTCCATAAATGTACGTAACAAAATTTACACAAGTTGGTTCGGCATAAGTTAATATTATTGGAACGACAAGTGCAATACGTAGCACTGGATCTCAGTTATATCATCATCGTATAGATTCTGATTCTGCTGGATCTAGATAATACAAATATATTGTGTTAATATGACTTCGACCAGTTAAGTCCACAATAATGGTGCCACATTCATCAACACCCAAATATTTACAAATTAGACTAAGGTCTTGTCTGTATAAAATCGTGTCAAGTACAAAAGTTTTTTTTTATTAACCTTGTCGTAAAACATTATAATAACTATAATTAATAATATTACACAAGTATTTAATATATTACAGTACTCGTATGGTTATCCAAAAATGTAAGCATTACGAAAATAATATGAGCTCGTTTTGTTGTAAATTTTCTAGATACCTTTAAACAAGAATTCTAGAGAATTAGGCTAAGATATCTGTTTCAGAATTAATTATTACTAATAACCCTCAAATATTTCTAAAATGCTCCAATTTACATTACTTACTTGTGGAATTCGCGGCAAAGTGTCTTACAACATTGCACAATAAACAGCGATGTATTGTGAAAAGTATGAAACTTATTTCAACATTTAATCACAGCAATATTTGATTTCAGCAATCTATTTCGTAAATCGCACAGTCAATCTCGTTCAAATTGCGTTCTGCAACCATTTCATCGCTCTTTCGCTATATATATTTGCACAATCACTAATGGCGTGTTATTACAGACAAATACGTCCAAGAAATTATCCAATGACCACCAATGTCATATATCTTGCTTGTTGGTTTTAAGAAAGTTGGTTGTTATGAAAGTAATAACGATTGGATTATAAAAATTGACACAAAGAAAATGAAATGGGAAAAATTAAACGCAGCGGCGGCTTATAATAAATATAGAATAGATGAAATCCACAAACAACTAAGTATAAACAATTTTAAGCATTTTGTAAAAGTTACCCAAATGGTAAGGGCATGTTATAATGTCGAAGAATAAATCGAAGACAAGAATGTTTATTACTCTTGCTCTACACTTACATTCTCCTGGCTACTGCTGACCTAATACTTTAATCATTTTGTATAATTCAATCAGTAAAAAAAGAGAAACAACAAGACCGCAGAGTTTCTTGCCGGTTCTTCTCTGGTCAGGTCTAGTTTAGTTAACCGGTGGCAGTTTTTTATGATGATCAATAAGAACTTAGAATAAGGCTATATTGAATAAAGAAATTTCAACTTTGACTTTGACTTTGAAAAAACTTGGATAAGGAAAGCGAGAAGCCGACGAAGATGGAAAAATAAAAGCTTGTTCGTGAATAGAATCTCATCAAACCTGTCTCGGGTATTTTATTTCAGCGATCCATCACTGTCCGAATTCATTAGCTGTGCCCTACTTATTATTGCTAAGGGCACTTACGTTTTAATATTTATTTTATCATGTTGTACCAGACAACATTGTATAAGGTCATTACGGTAAACAAAATAAGATGCTATTCATGATCGTTACATCTTATTGAAATTTACCGAAACGCACACATCTGTCGCGATCTTACCAATTAAAAATAGTCATACGAAGTTACGTCTCCGGCAAACAGCATTGCGAACGATTTATTATCAACTGCCTTCACGGTAGCCACCTCTTTGATGGATATGAAAACATCCAATTCAACAAGAGCTAATGAGCCGCTAATTGCTGGTGTGAAGTGATTAAACATATCTATGACATATATAAATTATCGTATCAGTCGACTATCCGTTGTTTGTATAAAGAAATCGTTCTGTCCGTCTTATCAGCTGATGATGGACGAGGAAGTTGCG